GTCAATGCCTTGCCCAAGCTAAAAGTCAGATTCAGCCAGCTGACTCTGTATTTCTTTTCCAAACCATGTGTGATTAAGAGGCAACAAAATATTATACCATGTATATATTTCAGTAAGCCATGTTCTAAGATGAAGACTGAGTGTCATAACTGAGTAAAAATCTATGTCTTTTTAGAAATAATGATGAAAATTATCTGATTAAAAATAACATCCCTTTTAATGGGAAAGAGCCATGGACAGCACAGAACATCTCCTAACAAACATTACTTGCTGTTTTTCTCTGTGCAAGCCATGGTCCAAGGCAAGCTAAAGTCTTTGGGTGCGAACCTCAAAAAAGTCATCAGAGTTGAACTACATGAAGAAATGAGGAAGAAGTGATCAGAATGAAGATTACAAATGATTTCATCAAGGATAAAGGGAAAAACAAGAAGAAAGCAGGCTTTTCAGAAAAAACTTCCATAAGGAAAAAGATATAAAACAAAATAACATAATTAAAGCTGTGGCCCAAAGCAGAATAATTCAGGAGAGCTTGTGGGGGATGTAGGGTGTTCTCTAGGCTTCCTATAAGCACCCAGAACCCCTTTAGGGTAAGGAGAAAAGGGTTAAGGAAGGGGCTGAGCAGAATCCCAAATCTAAGTGAAGGGGCAACGTAAGACAGCCAAGAAATAATCTTATGAAAGGATTCCATAACAAGCTGAAAACCTAAAGCATCAACATTTGAAGATGCACTGAATATAATAAGATATAAAATAATGATAAACAAGAGATGTTGATATAAGACACAGAGGGCAAGAAAAAGTGAGAGGCAGGCGCATTCTTTGAAAAATTCCACATAGACTGATATAGCCCTTGAGAAATGTATTTGTAGCCCATATTTTCTGACAATTTGCTTTGAAATGTAAATCTAGTCTTAAAAATTACTTAGTTTATCAAGTTGCTCCCTGAATTTATGTTTTTCTATTTCTATACCAAATGATTCCTCTAAAAAGTAATATTAGATTAGTAGGTCTTCATTTTATCTAATTTCAGCAAACCTATATTGAGTGTCTCTGCTCTCTCCTAGTACTGCACAATATGCCACATGTGTGGACAATAATAAGAAAAAGGCCTTTGCCCTCAAAAGCCTTGGAGTTATCTGGAAACTAGAAGCACATAAACAAATGCTTAGAAAAAGGAATAGAAACATCTATAAAAGTAATTGACCTAAGAGTGAAGAGGAATGACTTCTATCAGTAGGAGAATTTTTTTCCTTCATTTGTTCATCAAATATTTGAGAGTTTATCAAGAGCTTGGTATTGTGCTGAACACTGGAAATCAACTACTTAATGAGGCACAGTTTATTCACTGGATTGAATCACACTTCAGGATGAGAAAGAAGTCCATCTGAGTCAGAATCAAGAAGAGCCAACATTTTGGCCCTAGCCTTCCAAGGTCAATTAAGACTCAGGACATATGAGAACTTGTACTGTAACATCATGTAACTC